CTGGCGATACATTAATGGTTTAAAAACAAATAATTGCATACCTCAAACTATGATGCTTGAGGATAAGTCATCAACAGGTGACCCTGAGGTTGCTAATCTTTTTAAAGAATTGTTCAGTTCGGTTTATTATACTAACAAATTGAATATTGGTGAATGTCTTGGTTACTCAAAAAACTATGCAGATATATATCAGGTATAACCATATATTACATTCACTGTTAGCGAGATCTTTGAAGCCATTTATTCTTTAGATTTAAATCCATGCCCTGGTCCAGATGGTATTCCTAATATGTTACGGCCATGTATCTTTTCGTTATCTGTTCCCTTATGTATATTATTTAATCGTTCATCAATTGTTGGCTCTATGCCCTCCCAGTGGAAAACCAGTTTTATTTCATCCATTTATAAGTCTGGTAACAAAAGTTGAATAGCCAATTACAGACCGATTGCAAAACAATCATCTTAACCAAAATTGTTAGATGAATTAGTGTCTAAAGTATTAACATTTTCCTTTAAAACCACTTTAGATGATAACCAACATGGATTTAGGAAAGGGCATTCTGTGGAAACTAATCTTTTCTGTTTTTATAATTTCTTGGTAAATTCTATGAATCCGGAATTTGGACGGACGTTATTTATACAGATTTCAGCAAGGCTTTTGATTCAGTTAACCATTCAGTGTTAACTTCAAAATTAAAGACATACGGCATATCTGATCATTTGTTAATTTGGATTAGTTCTTACTTAGTGAATAGAGTTCAACAGGTGAAAATAAATGGTTTTCTATCAACTAAAATACCAGTACTATCTGGTGTTCCCCAAGAGGGGGCATTTATCACCACTGTTATTTGCATTATTTATTCTGGACATAGGTGCCTGTTTCAAATACTTTAAATACAAACTGTTTGCTAATGATCTCAAAATGTATGCAAATGTCGTCACAATTTATGATCATTATAAAATTCAAGATGACCTAAACAGATTTTGTGATTGGTGTCAATTAAATTGGTTAAAACTGAACACCACCTATAAGTGTTTCAAAATGTCTTTTCCCCGTTCAAGTACCAAAATAATTAATGTCTATCATCTCTTTGAAAATCACATTGAGGATATTAGTATCAATAAAGATTTTGGTGTAGTTTTTAAAACCGATCTATCATTCCAGTCACATGTCGATCATATCTGTACGAAGTCCTTAAGAACTCTTGGCTTTTTATTTAGGAATACCAAAGAATTTAGGAACGAACAGTGTCTAAAAACATTTATATTTCTTTAGTTAGACCTGCGTTGGAATTCTGTTCAATTATTTATTTGGAACCCCTCACAAGTCGGTTTGATGGAATCGCTTGAGCGTGTACAAAGAAGATTTTTACGTTTAATCGCATATAAGAGACGTATGCATTCCACTAATCATCCATCTGAGTCAATATCCCTTAATTCTATACGGGATTCCCTCAAATTTAATCCCCTTGTTAATAAGCGGAAATATACAGACATCTGCTTTCTATTTAAATTAATAAATGGTGTTATATCTTGTCCAGAACTATTACAGTTTATAAATTTCCATGTTCCTAAATTCCATTCACGTTCTTGTCCCATATTTGGAATCCCTTTTCATCGAACATCTTACGGCACTTATAACCCTATTGATCGAATAGCCAGAGAGTGTAATAATTTAAAACTTGATCCGTGCATGCATATTTAATAGTTTTTAAGTGCATTAAATTGACAGCCCTGATTATTACTAATAACAAGGTCAATCATTTTAATAGTTAAGTAAGATTACAACTATTTTTTTATTCATACACCTATGTACAAAGTAAATACTATTATTGAAATATATTATATATAGCCATGAATTTAAACATAATTTTGTTTTATTTATATTTTTTAGAAGTGTGAATCTTAAACAATCTAAGATTACTAATGTGTTTAAGAAGTTGGATAAAAAAACAAGTGAACGGTACAGCAATGCAATAGCATATTGGATAGCTACTGACATGCAACCATATTGCTCAGTATCAAAAAAATGTTTTGAGCATCTGATGTCGGTAATATGTCCAGAATATGAAGTACCTAGTCGTCAAGTATTTACTGAAAATATAATACCTGCTTTATATTATAAAGTAAAATGTAGAATAATGCAACAATTAAGTTCAGTTCAATTTTTGGATCTAACATTTGATTGTTGGACTTCGAACGCACAACATCCATATATAGGAATAACGGTGCACTATATTGATAATGACTGGATTTTGCAAACAAATTGTTTGACATGCACCAGCTTAGATGTAGACCATACATCTTTTAATTGACACGATATTATTGAATCAACACTAGTTGATTGGGGTATTCAAATATCAAACATTTCTGGTGCAACCACCGACAACGGAACAAATGTGATTAAAGCTGTTGAACTATTGGGAATCAATAGTATTAGTTGTTTTGGTCAAACGCTTAGCAATGGTGTTACGTCTTCGATGTCATTAAGCCCTGTTCAAATACTATTATCTAAAATTTCTAAACTGAGATTTAAGTTCCATTACCGTTCTAAACTGCGCAGATTACTTAAAGAAGTACAACAAAAACATGGCTTGCCTCAAATTGTTATGCCTACATCTTGTGTGACAAGATAGTGGACAAGCTTGCCAGCACTTCAATTCTTAAGAAATCAACAAGAAGCTCTTTTTGATGTTTTATATAAATTGAAATCTAATAGTATAAAATATCTCCCAAATTGTAATGAACAAAAGCTTATACGTGTAATATGTAATCTGTATGAACCTCTTAAGACATTAGGAGAATACAAGAGTTCAGAACAAGTTGTGACAGCTTCTTCAATATGGCCCATTTATTTAAAGCTTAAGGAATCAAAAAAAAGTAAAAAATATCGATACTAATTAGATTTTATTTATTATTTCGGTATACCGTACCATATCGGCGTTTAGGTATACCGAAACAGTTTGGTTTTTCGGTACGCCGGAAATTTTTGGTTTATTGAAATCAATACCGTATTACCGAAAATTATTTTCGATACCGTCAGCCCTACCATTGGCCTCGTTTGAGGAAGGAATAGGTGGCAAGGTGCGGATTTTCCACTGTCTGATTTGTGATTACTCTGATTGTAACAGCAGTCCAATTGCTGAGCTGATTGTTGGTGAAATAACATATAACTGTAATTTATTTTGAGGAAATTTAATGTGTATAAGAATTACTAGGTTAACCTAACCTAGAAAACTATTGTCACGATAATCAGTGGCGATTTTTTTTCGGAGGGGAGGGGGGGCTGATCAATTTTTTACACAGCGGTGGTTTATATTTTGATGGAATACCATAGACCATAAAAAAAATTTTTAAATTGAATTAACATTTTGGGGGGAGGGGCTGTAGCCCCCTCAGCCTCCCCCCTGGCTATGCCACTGACAATAATAGTTGTTATTTATAGTTTTTAGTTCAAATATATTATAACATGTAGACATGGATAGTATAGAAATTCTAAAAAATACATGATTACTATTAAATTTGTAGAAATTCTATAATATAGAACTTAGAGGATATCTACCTACCTATTTTTTTTAATCTTTCAATTACGTTTTAGTAGTCATGTTTCATATTTTAATTTAATTTGTTCAAACCACCCAGAAAAATATAAAATAATGCTACTGAAGAACATACCTATACGATCTAACTTACATAATAAATTAATTAGCTCTTCAAAAATTTTTTACCTCAGCCATGAAAGATATAGGACATGGGAATTGTATCGAAATAAAAATGTAAGTGAAAATTAGCTTGCAGACAGTAAAGCAAACTATTTTTTGTTGTTTGGCTTAGTTATATATTGCAAATGTTTGACCTCTCGGCCCCTCCTATTAAAAACTGAAATGAACCCATAGACTCAAAGAGTAAAGACTAATATTTTTAATTTCTCGATTTTTTTCGTACTAGATACTCAAGTTCTTATAAGGAGTGTCCTGTGATCATGACGAAATAAACTTCTGTTTTTCAAAAGCGAACCCCCCTTTTATTATTTAGTGAATATATTTTTCGAACATTTTAATTTACCTATACCTTATTTAAAATTCGATCGAGTAGGTTCTATGATTATAATCTCAATTCTCAGTTACCATTAAATGTTAATGTCCTTAAAAATCAGTCACATTAAAAATAATCAAGCAAATTGACATTTTTTAAACTCAGTTCCAAAAAAATTATAGAATAATCTATTTTATCATTTTTAAATTAAAAACATTTTTTTCCTGTGACGAAATATTTCAACTATAGAAATTAAGAAATAAGACTTAAAGAGGACGTGATACCCGCATGTGTTGTCTCCGTCTTACAAGTGCGTAACATAGCATATTGTACACTCGGCAGAACACGTGTATCTCCGTTAATTTAAAAATTATAGTGTATTTTAAGATGTATAAAACAATTACAATTTTAAAATACTCATAACTCGCGTTAAAATTAAAATATAATTAAAAACCTCAGAGGTTGCCTAGATAATAATCTTAACTTTAGATATTTTAAGAGGTCAATTCGCACTAATTTTTAAACTAACGGAGCTACACGTGTTCTGCCGAGTGTAAAATTTGCCATGTTACGCACTTGTATGACAGAGACGACACATGCAGGTATCACGTCCTCTTAAGAACAAATAATACAATAAATTCCTAAGTATGATCTATGAAATATAGGCTGAGCGCTGAGTATTCTTTAATCTTTAAAATATGCTGTAATACGCAAAATTAATTTTTTTCTACGAATTTTGTACGGAATAAGTTGTTCAGATAATTTACTCATGTTGAGCTGCATATAGCCAAAAAATATAATAATAGGTATGTAAAAAGTAAAAATCTACTCTAATTGTATTATAATATTTATAATTATAATTTATAATAACCTAATATAATATAATTTTATTATTTAATATTATCTAGGTATCAGTCTTGTGATAAGTGTTATCACATTTAAAAAAGTCTTTATCACCATTCGCCGTTCGACTGCTCGCCGAACACCGTGCCTTCTTTTCATTTCTCTTCGCGCGCGCAGTGCCGTCGGCCCTGTAGATTTTGCTGTCCATCTTTCGATGTAATTCGACCGTCTCTAAGGAGCGTCATAAACGCCCTTCTAATAGCTCAAATTTGAGGCCTAGCATTTGGAGCTCGTCATCGTAGGTTTCCAGTGTGGAACCATGGCCAACTCCGTGCGCAAGATTTGCACGAAAATCGGAAACGGTCATCAGTACTTGTTGGGCACTGTCAAAACTTCAGCATACAGTGGTCACGTCGTGTCAGACACCGTTCAGCAGCACTCGGCCAGATCCCAGGTAATCCAATCAGCATGTGACCTTAATTGCTTGCCGATAAGGTCACCCGCCAAGGGTGTTTCCTACAATGGGGTGGTTCTTTCGTTTTCAGGTTGAGACAATGTGCAAAATCAATTATGCCGACAATTTGTTCCGTCAGTCACAACCGTTTCTCAACTACATTGTTCAACCTGTCAAAAACAAACAGTCCGCAGAAGTAGCTGTCGAATGGTTTAACAGACACACAAATCCCAAAAATGATGTCTGTTACAGCACTGAGCTTAAACAAGACAATTCTTCAAAGTCTAATGAAAATGACAGCACATCCGATTCTAATGGACTACCAAGTGCAGCACAGCTCGATCATGTTTATAATAGATTGGGAGAAGATGTAAGTAAACAACCATACTAATATTGTTAGAACATTGAATTTGCTTAACACTATATATATTATGTTCAATAATATATGATTCTTTTTATTTTAGTTACCACTAATGTTTAAACATAATTTGGACTATGCATTATATCATCCCAGATTGGTATTTGAGAATAATATTAGAGGAACAAAGAGTGTGTAAGTAAATAAAGGAAAATAATTCCTATACAATTTATAAATTATTATATTTAACTGTTTTTAGAGGCTTGGAATACTTCATGACAACAATTTCTTTACTACGTTTGATGGGCCATATTAAGTATGCTTTTGTAAAATTTGATATATTAAAAATAACCAAACATCCAGAAGATGGAACAATTAAAGTACGCTGGAGAATCAAAGGTATATCAGGAATGAAAGTGTTCATGAAGTTTTGGAAATTCAGACTTTGGAATTTGGAACAAGTCATTAAAGAAAATGTAGAATCGTATGTGAATTATTCTTTATCTAATTGCATAATAAAATGTAGTAATAAGATTATAAATTAACATAGTTACCTAGAACTATATTAAACGATTTAAAGAAGCATACAACTCATCAAAAAATTAATCTTTTTTAGAAAAAAAACTGGGGAAAATTCTTTGGTGTATAGTAGGTATCTAGTGTACCCTGTCAACAGTAAATAACTTTAATAGATTATTTGAATTCAATGATAAATCATAATATGGTATATCAATGTAATGGGTAATCATTGTACATGATAAAAAATTAGAAATCATTTTGAACTTTAATGGTTTGTCAGCATGTAGATGATATAGATATTTCTAAGGATGTGGTATTTTCTATTTATATTGCTATTAGTAATAACTAGTAAGGTTGGTTAACTTATTTTTGTTAAAAGAAAATCACAATATCACTTATATAATATAATAATTGTTTCAAATAATATTACCAACTATTATCAACTTATTATTAGTCAATACTGATGTGATATGCTGTAGAACAGTGCTAATATGTTCATGATAAAATGGCTTAAAATTTATATGAATAGTGTAAAAATTGTATTGTCTACAGAAATATATGTTGCTCCAATATAAAACTTTTTTTTAATTTCTAGAAAAAAAACTTATTAGGAATCTTATATTTTGAATTTTAAGCCTGAGGTGATAAAATTAAAAACTATACTACAAGATAATTTCCATATTTTCATATAAATTTGAACTTATAACTCATAAAAAAACCAATTGTAACTATATTTTTTGACAACTTTTTAATTATTGAAATTCTCAAAAAATTAAGTTTTCTAAGAATTTTATTGTTGTTTTTTGAGAATTTGTAATATTGAAGCGTCATATACTTTTTAGTTTCAAGGGTAAACATAACTATTGATATATTCCAACAAAAATTAGCATGAACTTAAACACTTCTGTTGCAAAAAATATGTTCTAGAATCCATAATATTACTTTTTTATTTTTTATGCAAATAATTTAAATAATTATTTGGGTTTAGTTTGCAATTAAATTACATATTTACTATCCTATTATAATATGAATGAAATAATTTTATAACAATGGTTTTTTTAAAGGATTCAAAACTGACCAGCACAGAGTAATATTGTTTTAAATTCCATCCTTAGAAATAACTCATCTGTAAATTAAGTAGTGAATCAATTAATTTTTAAAAAAACAATTTTATTGTCTTCTAGGTGGCATGATGGTTTTTCAGTATTCTATTTAGGATCTGATGGTTTAGTTCATAAGCTTACTGCAGATAAAGTATGTTAATTTTTGAATATTTTGTTGTTAATATAATGTTTTTAATTTTTTTACGTTACATATTTATGTTTAGATGCAACCAGATAACGACCCAGTAATCGAGGATAAAAATCCACTAGCCACTAAATTGGCTCTATTTCTAGGACTATCACCGCAGTTGGGTAATTTGGATTGCTTGATTTCATTTGACTCTGAACAGACAAATGAATTACTTAAGATGGTTATTATGTCCCTAGAAGATGTCATTTAATATTAATGGCAACATATCAAAATACTTCATGCTGCGTTAAAAAAACCATTTCGTTTAATGTTTATGCCATTGTAACCTTATTGCTTGATAATATTTATATTATTTTGTGTTGTTAATTTATGTGGCCGTTGTAAAGTTTTGATCATTTATAAAGAAATGTTTGTTGAATGTAAGTTAGTGTAATAAGTAGATAGTCAATTAAATCAAACACTGTTAACTTGTTGTAATAAAAAGTGAAATCACAAAATTGCTTACAGAAAACTATAGATAAGTATTGCAATTGATTTTTGTGTAAGCCAAACATAAATTAAATGCCTGAAGATTTTACCAAATGTCATATAATATTCAATATTGGGTATTTATGTTTCTTCATTTTTATATTTTATTAATTTGATGTTTTTGAGTAAATATGGAACTTATTTGTAGATACTCATTCATTGTTAATAAACCTGTGTGACCTGAACATCTTAAATATTTTTTATATATATATATTTTATTAATTATTTATGATGATTCCATTTTCAAATTTAAATTGTGTGAATAAGGTTCTTATTTGTACTGAAGCAAATATTTGTATGGTAAATAAATGTTATAACAAATTATAGGTTTGCACAAAATTAATGTATCCAGGATCACGGCTCAGAGCTTCAGTGCAAAGTTAAAAAAGAAAAACATGTCGACACCTTTGTACCTTTAACTAATGAATCAATTAACTTGAAATTTATATGGGTTGAACAGTATGTTAAATATAGGATACTTCTAAAATGTCAAGTTTATCAGTGGACTTGGTCTGAAAAATACTCAAATCTATTTGCAGAATAATTGCTTAAAACTCTAGAAAAACAAATTCATAAACTGGTATAAACCAAAATTAAAAATAACCGAAAAAATTTGAAAAATGGTATACAAAATAAAATTTACTATTACCAGTATTGTAAAATTAAAACCAAAATTAAAAACTGGACTTACATTTTTTCAATTGGTTGCTTTAGTTATTAGGAATAACATTTTGCGTTAATTCTGCCATATGTGAGTTATGACTTTATTTGAATTTGTCTTTTCGCGTGAGGTGTATATTTGATTGAATATTTATCAGTTATTCATCATAATTATGATGAATTGAGGAATTTTGTAAGCACACATAAGAGTATCCACCCCAGATTTTTGGATATGTAAAGAATAGGTTCTTGATATTTTTTACAACACTTTTTCACATAAGTATTCCATAAAAAATATTTATTATAATTTACAAATTAAGCCTTCATCTGAAATTAATTATTTATAGCCATCCCATTCCCCTCACAAGAGCACATTCACTTACTTTACTTGATAGCTCATCTGAGTGCCTCTGTATCATAATATTACTTCTTTAAAAACAATGAAAACTATTTATAATAACACCGCTTGTAGTAACATATCAGGTGTAATTACCTTAGTTTGAAGATCCCGGCAAAACTCCCATATTGTATGCACTTATTGGTATGCCATCTGTATAATGACCATATGGATGTTATTTTTAGTTATGTTGGAAAAATCTATACGATATTTATGATGACTGCATTTAACTTTTATCGCAGGCAATATAAGGATAGCAACTATTAAAAACAAATTTTGAAGAAGTGGAAAAATATACTGCATGATTTTTATAAAAACAAGTGACAAACTAAGGTAGGTAACAGATTATTTTAAAATGATAAAACGTTATTTTTTCTGTATGTATTGTGAAGTCAGGATTATGTGATAAAAATATGACACATTGTTTGTAATGCAATATTGTGTCCATATAAATATATTATAAACAAGTCTTAAAATTTTATATTATTATTTTGGTTATAAAGAAAATTGGTTACTGTAACTAATAAAGTTCCTTAAATGTCATTATAAACTGTTTCTACTTTATATTATTAATGCTTCTGTATTCAGTATTGTACATGTTAATGTATTCAATATACTTCCAACTTTCAAACTTCAGTTCTAAGAAATGTTGTCCCCACTATTTTTCACTTGATAAATAGAAAATATAGATTTACTTTCATCAGAATTTTAATAAACAATGATGGATACCAGGACACATCAACAAAAAGTTGTAATATCAAAATTCTTTAGTATAGAAGTATTTATAAATTATAATTATTTGTATTTAATGAAGTGTGTTTATTAAATACTTATAATTTAACTTAACTAAGAAGACATTTTATAAAAAAAATCAATTGAGAATAATATGAACTGTAAGCTATGTAAGCTAGTTCAAAACTTATTAATGATGAAAAAATATTGTTTTATTATTAAAGTAAGTCTTACATTTATCCAATTTTATATTAAACAGCTCTTAAGTATTATTTTTAACAACCAAAAATAAATGTTTAAGAAATTCTGAACAGTAATGCTGGTGACATGTAACAAATTGATATTTAAACTAGTATTTTTTACTGGCGACTTTCTTGATAAGTGCTGTTCGTTGTTTATGTGCTTCTGTGATGGGTGCTTTTTTGTATGGTTTCAATTCATCTGTTCCAAAACCAGGTATCCACATATTTAAGTACCGTTCTGTAAAATATATACAATGGTTATAGTTTTTGTTCAAATTTTAATAAAATCATAACAAATTTGACACTTTTTTAAAAATTATGTTTATAGTAACCTAAGTAAATTTGGACGTCTTTAACTTCAACGATATTTGATTTTCTATGTTTAGCAAATACACATGCTGCTTTGACTAATTCGTTGACAAAATCGTCAGATAACTGCAACATAAGGTCTTCTACGTCCTCTTCTAGCTGTTCATTTGGATCTACTTCTTTGACTAGTTCACGCAAACGAGTTTTTGTTAACAACTGTGAAAAAAAAAACAAGAATAAAATGTTTTACTAAGTTGCTTCACACTATAGGTAATACAAAAACTAGTTAAATAAGTGATGACTTTGATTTTTACCCAAACCATTTTTACAACATATTTATATGCTAGGCTGGGGTGGGTACCTCCCACATAAAATTTTTTTACTCAATTATATTTTGGATGTAAGAGACACAAAGTCAAGCCAACAGTCATAACTTTATAAGAAGCTATTTATATATAGACACATTGCACAATAAATTGCAAAAATAGTAAAAACGTTCATGTACCACCTTATGCCATTAAACTAACCTCTTATTTCAAAAACTATGAATGTTTTCGAAGAAAATATTTTCAAAAATATAAATACTTTTTTAATAATGAGTATCGTACATTAAATGAATCACCGGATATATTCATTTTTTTTTTCATGAAATTTTAACACAGTTATTTTTCAAAAGTTAAATTACTTAACAAAATAGATTGAACAAATGTAATATTTTGGATCAATGTGACAATGTTCTATTATATATTAATAGTTTTTCAAATTACTTGTGGTACTTGTTTATATATGACTAGTAAATGAACCCGACCAGGTTCCAACGAGACATAATTGGCACATGACACCATAATAAATGCAAACAAGAATAAATTAAAATCATAACTTGATAAAGCAAGTTTGGATTATTCAGCACATAAAAGCACACCTATTGAAAAATCTGTGTACGTTGTTGAGGAAGTCATTCCAATAAACGATCCGATAGTTGTAATTTCATGAGGCGAGATTTATTTGCAAAGTTTTCCTTAAATGATTAGGTTGTTACTTGTATTATGTACACTAGTATATGGGTTTTGCCCTGGAATTGAGTTTAGTCATAAATTCAAAATGCAGTTGAATCAAAAACAATTAACAGATTAAAAAACTTCTACTGTTGGCATATATGGGGGAGGAGGGGCAAATGATACCTTTGAACCCTCGAGTATAATTTAAGAAGTCAAGTGCTACTGGTTTGGTTACTGTAGTTTCTGAATTTTCGATCAGCAAAACAAAATGATTTTGATGATTACATAATTGTATAATACTAGTATTTAATATGTAGGAAGTGTTTGAGTGAAAAACATGAACTTCTTTATCATGAGAAAATGTAAAATTAATTTCTTAATCCTAAAATCAATACCTTTTTTTTAATTCTAGCATAATTTCCTATCTACTTCAGTAAAAAGGTATACATAAAATATTTAATTCATCCAGAAAAACACTTAATTTTATTTTCACAAAAATTTTATACTTTCATACTATTTTTTATTAGAGTAGGGTAGAAATATAGTGGATACTGATGTGTAGTCTATTACTACTTTTATGATATACAATTTTAACAACTACTTATATCGATTTATACCCAAGTGATAGATTAATATAATTATTTAGAGAAATACTTACTGCTGCATTGTCTGCATTCATCAAACTTTTAATGGTATGTTGTTGTTGTATTTGTTGCTGCTGTGATGATGGTTGTTGTTGCTGTGCCATTTGTTGTTGTGGCAGCTGCACTGTTGGTTGATGTTGTTGTTGCTGTACCATTTGTTGTTGTGGTTGCTGTACTACTTGTTGTGGCTGTTGTACAGCTTGTTGTTGCTGCTGCTGCTGTACTACTTGTTGTTGCTGCTGTACCGCTTGTTGTTGCTGCTGTACTGCTTGCTGTTGCTGTTGAACCGCTTGTTGTTGCTGTTGTACAGCTTGTTGTTGCTGCTGCTGTACTATTTGTTGTTGCTGGTGTACTGCTTGTTGTTGTTGCTGCTGTACTACTTGTTGTTGCTGCTGTACTGCTTGTTGTTGCTGCTGATGTACTACTTGTTGTTGCTGCTGTACTGCTTGCTGCTGATGTACTACTTGTTGTTGCTGCTGTACTGCTTGCTGCTGCTGTACTACTTGTTGTTGCTTCTGTTGTAGTGGTAGTTGTTGTTGTTGTTGCTGTAGCTGTAGATGCTGTTGTGATTGCTGAAGTTGTTGGGGTTGCTGCTGTTGTTGAGGTGGTTGCTGCGCTGGTTGTTGTTGCAGCTGTTGATGTTGCTGCGGTTGCTGCATATAAATAAATACAAATAGTTAGTAATAAATAATTTATTAGCCTAATTATACTATATAAGTGTAGAATTTATTACAAGAATATTTTGAATTTTTAGACTATATCATAATATAGTATTTTTAGAACATCTTATCAATTATCAATAGCCACTTTCTACCTCCACTGCCTAAGATTATTACAATCACATACTTTTAATTTCTATTAGTTATTTTCAAGGTATTAGTTACTTACTACCTAGTCACCCATATGCAATTTAATAACTAAAGAAATTAACTAATTTTTAATTTTTAATTTTTAAACTGGGACATTATTTTTTTATGAAAATTAGTTACTTTGGTATGCTGAAAATCATGGTGAAGTATCTACAGAACATGGTCGTTATATAAGCGTTAATGTTTTTTTAATTGAAAAAAAAATTATACTGCACACATTATATTGAACGAATATAGTAATTATGGTAAATGTATACTATATATTATGAAAATAAAATATAAACTGAAAAAAATGTATTATTTATCTTTTGTCATTTTTTTCTTATGAATAATTATAATCTAGATACATCAATAGTTTTCTCCTAGATTGGAGATTCGAAAATAAAATGATAATTTCTTTAAAATCTGCCTTACCTGATCAATTGTCAATAGTGGCAATGCAAAGCACTTTTTTGGGGTCATAGTTGATCTTACATATTTTTTGTTATTATTAATATTATTTTGTGACTAAATGATGAAAATAATATACAATTTTTGAGTTATAATAATTGCTTTTAACAAAACTACAGAAGATTATAAAATAAGAAAAAAATGTATAATATTAATTAATTAATTTTTTGATACTATCAGTACTCAATGAAGTCTAAGAATTTACATCACTAATTTGTGCGACATGCCAATATACTAGTAATACACATTGATTTGTATTTGATTCAAACCTTGATACAAGTCTGTACTTAACTACTTACCCTAAGTTAGTAAGAAAACAGTAAAAATGTCTAACATTTTAAAGTGCCACATAAAGTTTGCGAATACAGCCAAGTTATCTGTTCAAGCAGTAGTGTAGCACCACAAAAACAACTAACTTCTACCATAACTTCTTGGTTGGTGTTTTTACAATATTTCAATTTGTATACAATTTATAAGCATTTTAAATTATAATAACTTAAATGCTCATAACTTTCATAAAAACAGATAACGTGAGACGCATGCCATGTTCATACTTAAAGATTGATAGTTAGCAAATTTACTCTTATATTAAAAGTAATAAAACACAGGGTTGGTCTGCTAAACATTAACTTTTGCACTTGGGTCTGAGAGAGAAAACAAATAGTGCTTAGACAACCTCTTAATTGTGTATGCAACTAAGCCAGAGCACCAGAGGGCTATGGTATTAGAAACTTTAGTTTGATAAGACAGAATTCTTACATGTTGCAGCTGCTGTAGTAATTGTGGTTGGGGCAACTGTTTTATTTGTTGCTGTTGGTGATGTTTTATTTGTTGTTGTTGAATTAATAGTTGTTTCTGTTGCATTTGTTGGAGCTGTTGCTGTTGGAGTTGAATTTGTTGCTGTTGTGTCGGTAGTTGTTGCTTTTGTTGGAGTTGTTGCTGTTGTTGGAGTTGTTGCTGCTGTTGGAGTTGCTGCTGTTGGAGTTGTTGCTGTTGCTGTTGTAGTTGTTGCAATTGTTGGAATTGGAGATGTTGCATTACAATATTTTGCTGGTTGGAGGTCACTACCGAAGGGTTATTGAGCACAGAGATTGTTGACACAGGAGTGCTATTAAGAGAAGTGACTGTGGACACTGTCGTTTGGTTTACATGCACAACCGGAGACATGGACGAATTGATGAGTGGAGCGATTGTTGATGAACTGATGAGAGGTGCAACTTGAGGTACCAGTAGATTGGTATGGGTTACAGACGTTGTGGAAGGTTTGTTATTGAGAGGTGCTACTGCCGAGGATAGTTTGTTGGTAAGAGCTCCTACTGACTGCGTCGATGAGCTTAAAATTGGTGCAACTGCCGAAATAGGCGGATTGACGTGGGACGCAATGGACGTTGGCGCCATTTCGACATCAGTAGTTTGAGCCTAGAACGCATGAAGCATAAAATTATCATAGGCAGTAAATATATGAAAATTGTAGGACACAATCCATTAACAGTAACACTTACCACAAGTTGATCAATTTCGTCATCCGTTTCCATTGGCATAGCACTCCCTACGTCGCTTTCGACGGCATCACTTGAACTCATCATGTCGCTGACGTGAAATATGTTTGCCAAGAATTTTATAGAACGTCTGTACTCTACCGACCATCGGCTTCGTCAACGAATGAGGTCGTCTGCGAACGGAACGAAATAATAAATATTCAATTTGTCAAACGAGAATAATAATTATTGTATATTCTGATTTGGAGCTCCGAAAAGGGTTTTTATTATAGTAGTATAGTGTTTACTGTTAATAAGTTTAAATAATTAAATGTATAAAAAATAATATTATTGGTATTTATTTAATTGAAATTAAATAATATATATTACAATTTACAATAATAATATTATCTTGTTTATTATTTACGACGGGACATTGATAACAACAACACGGAAAACGTGAAAATCATAGATATACAACAACAAAATATATTTTCACCCATACTTATTTTTGTGACAACTCTGTGATAGTAAATAAGCAAAATTTTGTGGTAGAATAGTCGTCAGCCTTGGTTGTCGGGTGGGGCTGGTGGAGGTAGAAAAATGATTGGAATTTCAAACGACACGGATTCTCGATGGAGTACGATCGTATATGATAACCACGATGTATATCGATAACATTTTATCTACTTCGCGGTTTACAATCACAGAATTATAATCGGCTTCTATAGGGTTCTACACGTGTATTTAAAATTTTAATAATAATTTGTAGTGTGTCGCTTGTGATTTTTCTACTTCAATGCTTTAAAATTACCACTGTTGATATTGAACTATTGACTTAAGCCTTTAATAGTAATTATTAACAGTCTCGTCGACAACCAAAATGGTGTATAAGAAACGAAAAATAAAAGTTTTTAGATCGAAAAAAAAGAAGGAGTCTATTGATGTCGTGATCGGCAAACTTAAAGAGGCGTACGAGCAGGTAACATATTTTAATATTTTTAACGACACCGGTGGAGGGTTTTTTGGTCCATCTTATAGGTTATATTATTTTGCATTAAAATGTACAGCGTACAGACATTTTTTTTGATCCACAAAGGTTTTTAATTAATAAAAATTGAGGTGTTTGTGTACAGAAGATATTTTTAAATTGTTTTTATTTTTGCAACATTAATATGAAATCAATAAATTTACAAATGCCTAAACCATTAATTGTCGTGTTTGGGTAAAGCTAATTGTCCTTTATTCGCCAGGGGTGATTAGAAATATTTACATTAGTGTGTGTGTGTGTGTTTGGAGGGGGAAGGGTGAGGAGGTAATTATGTAAAAATTGTTCATTTTATGAATTTTTAGCGCTACAAATACTTTGTATTAATTTTATGCATATTATTACAATGTTATATAATTTAAAATTTAACTCGACTCTTTTTAGATTGATCCAAATGCTATTGAAAAATTTGAACATTTTCCCTTGTCGGCACCAACACTAAAAGGATTGAAAGATAACAAATACTTTGTGCCTACTGAAATACAACGTGAAAGCATTGGTTATAGCTTACGTGGCGAGGACATATTAGGTGCAGCTAAGACTGGCAGTGGTAAAACACTAGCTTTTTTAATACCGGTTAGTAAACTATTAGAAACATTTAAAATTGTTGTATCATAATTGATAAATTTATCAGGTATTGGAAATATTATATTGCAACAAATGGAATCGTACTGAAGGGTTAGCAGCTCTAATCATAACTCCTACCAGAGAATTAGCATATCAAATATTTGAAACATTACGTAAGATTGGTATCCACCACGATTTTTCTGCTGGTTTAATTATTGGTAAGTGTAACATTTTACATATGGATGGTTTAGAGGCAACACAGAGTCAACAAACAGTATGTATCTTAAATGAAGATTTTATTTCAAAAGTAATGAGATAACTCAAACAATAATAAAAGAGTATGTTGAAATCGGAAATATGTAACTATTTTCCAGTTACTCTTGTAATGAATATTGTATTATTACAACAAACTATTATTACAATACTTAGAAGATTGTACACTTCTCCATAGCAATCTTGATAAGTTTGTCACTTGGAGTGAATTTTTGGCTTGGTACTCAATATTGGTAAATTGTTGATGTTTCACCCGATCTCAAGTTTCCAATTGATGCTTAATTAATGGAATTAGGACCTCATCAGTCAACACTATACTTGATGTAGTCCTTATATTCACGCCCTCTCTTGCTTAGCTCTCACACGTTAAAAGTATTAGGTACATAGTTAATTAATAAATAAGTACCTTTACGTTTTAGTTGCAATCCAGTTTCTTTTCATATTCCTCTCTGGTCAACCTATTATATGTCTAATGAGCAGATAAAACATTTAATGAAACTAGCAAATGAGGACTCTCCTTCCTTAATGTATAAATGTTCAGCATATACTTGTTATTTGATAATTATCATATTATTATATTCAATATTATAATATTATACTAGGTATGTTATATTATGTACCCTTTTTACCTTGGTACAAGCCTCTTTTGTATAAAATAAAATAATATTAATTAAAGTTAACCATATAAATAAAAATTAAGAATAAACATTGTCTTAACCTAGTTTACAGCATATCAGTATCTTATTATTCGGTTTTATAATACGTGTTTTAATGTAATCATAAAGTAATTGTTGTGTAAACAATATTAAAAAAAAAATTTAATTAATCAAACCATATCAATTTTTGAAAATAATATCAACCTTGTTTTTTTTACTGTATTTTAAAATTGTTGAAATGGTGTTAACTGTTTTTTGCTTCTGAACCAATTATTCACCATTTGTATATAATATTTTGAACAACATTTAATTAGGCTTTTATTATTATGCAATTATATCTATTCATGTTTTGAATGTATTTTAGGTGGCAAAGATTTGAAATTTGAGCGCAAACGTTTAGACCAATGTAACATAATGATTTGCACACCAGGTCGCTTATTGCAGCATATGGATGAAAATCCACTTTTTGACTGCTCTAATATGTTAGTACTAGTGTTGGACGAAGCTGACCGGTGTCTTGATATGGGTTTTCAGCAAACTATGAATAGTATTATAGAGAATTTGCCTCCTGAAAGGCAAACACTTCTATTTTCAGCCACTCAAACTAAGTAGGCCATTTGTATATAAATACATATAATATATTTATTGTAAATTAATTACTTATATTGTACTTCAGATCTGTGAAAGATTTGGTAAGACTCAGTTTGAGTAATCCTCATTTAATATCTGTTCATGAAGATTCCGAGCACAGTACTCCATCTGGCTTAGTACAAAGTTATATGGTATGTGATTTGCATGATAAAATGAGTCTATTATGGTCTTTCATAAAAAATCATTTGCACCATAAAGTGCTCGTGTTTATGTCAAGCTGTAAACAGGTAAGAGTAGAATAATTCAGCCAATAAGTTATGGAATATGTATTAGTAATGGAGATAAACTTGTTGTTCTAGGTTAAATATTTTTATGAAATATTATGTAAGCTACGACCGGGTACTAGTTTATTAGCATTGTATGGTACTATGCATCAGACAAAACGTATGGCTGTGTATGAGTCGTTTAGTAGAAAACAGCGTTCAGTTCTCTTTGCTACAGACATTGCTGCTCGAGGACTAGGTAATTTAATTAATTTTTTTAAACTTAAATGCTTGTGAAGAACAAAAATGTATCTAAATATATTTTTTAAACCAACTAGAAAAACACTATTTATAAAAAATAGAAAATACGGTTTATAGATTAGCTTGTTTAATAAAATGTTTTAAATGATAGATTTGTATGACCAATTAATACTTTAATAAACAATAAATAAAATTTGTCATTAAAACCATAATATCATTGTTGATATACTTATTTTTACTTTTTAACATATTAAAAAAAGAATTTGGAATACATTTATTATTTTGTAATATCTAAATTAACTTTTGTATATGTGATTTATTATCCGAAACTATACAGGTGTCCCTTGAGGATATACTCATTGCGATATATCTTGAAATAATGTAGGTATCGTAGTTCTAGTTCCCTGTATGCACCTAATTCACTATTTATTTTATGAGTGTAACTGAAATAACTGGCACATAACTTTTAAAGTAAATGTTTAATAGAAACAATTAAATACATGTTATAATTTAATGTATTACCTTATCAAAACCTTATAACATAAGTCAGGTTTAAAATTGATTATTTAGATATGATCTGGGTCATAGATGTATACATTAATTTTGTTTTTTATTTAGATTTCCCCGCTGTTAATTGGGTTGTTCAGTTGGACTGTCCAGAAAACGCAAATGAGTATATTCATCGTGCTGGTAGGACAGCTAGATTTCAAAAGTCAGGAGAATCTTTGCTTGTTCTGTTGCCATCTGAATTAGCCATTTTAAAACAGTTGGAAAGTAAAAAAATCCCAATCTCAGAAATAAAGTAATTATTTATATATAATATATGTATATACCGTGTGTCTGTGGAAACATAGTACACCTTATCACTCATTACCCTGTAAATAATTTTAAGTTCTGTTTGCGGGACATTTAACTAGACTAATACATTTTTATGACTTACAACTTTTTTAACTCATGTATTATGGGCATGCGCAACACAACTTCATTTTTTTAAATGATAATCTTTATTTTGAATATTATTTTTGGATGAATAATTTTTTTGATCTATCAACTTGTATTTTAAACCTAAAATTGCCAAAGTTTGTGCTAAGTATAATTAAAAAATAAATTTTATTAATCAACTAAATTTCCTATCTTTTTAACTGTACTTATTTTTTCCTTCTATTTTCTAAAAATCATGATTAAATAATGAATAATTAAATGAAATACAATTCTTAAAAAGTAATTAGTTTATTACTTAAATCATAACAAGTCTGATTGTATCATGGGGTTTAGAAGGGAATTTGTGTATAATAAAAAGAAAAAAACTAATTTAGTTAATTAATACAATTTAAAAAAAAATTATACCTACTTAGTTCTAACTTTGGCAATTTGGGCTTAGAATACAAGTGGATAGATCAAAATTACTTGAAAAAACGATCAGTCCAAAAATGATATTCAAATAGGGGTTGTCATTTAAAAAAAATTGAAGTTGCGTTGTGCTTGCGTAAAATACATGAGCTTATACAATTGTACATACTAGGAATTTATGGTCCATTAGTCTAGTTGAATGTCCCACAAATAAAATTGAAATGTACCTTGTTTTCGCAGACGCACGGTGTATAAAAAAAAAAATGTATTTTAGATTTAACAAATATTTACTTACAGAGTTAATCCTAATAAATTGACTTCAATCCAACGGACATTGGAAGCAACTTTAGCAAAAGATCACATTTTAAAAGAATCGGCTCAGCGTGCTTTTGTTTCTTATATAAAATCTGTATTCTTAATGAAAGACAAAAGTGTATTTGACGTTGCAGCTTTGGATACAAATTCATATGCTAGGTAAATATAAAATTCACATAT